GTCTGTGTGTCTGTGTGTGTCTGTGTGTGTCTGTGTCTGTGTCTGTGTGTCTGTGTGTCTGTGTCTGTGTGTCTGTGTGTGTCTGTGTGTCTGTGTCTGTCTGTGTGTCTGTGTCTGTGTGTCTGTGTGTCTGTGTGTCGTGTGTGTGTCTGTTGTGTGTCTGTCTGTGTGTCTGTGTGTGTGTCTGTGTGTGTGTGTCTGTGTGTCTGTGTGTCTGTGTGTCTGTGTGTGTCTGTGTGTCTGTGTGTCTGTGTCTGTGTGTCTGTGTGTCTGTGTCTGTGTGTCTGTGTGTCTGTGTGTCTGTGTGTCTGTGTGTGTGTCTGTGTGTCTGTGTGTCTGTGTGTGTCTGTGTGTCTGTGTGTCTGTGTGTGTGTGTCTGTGTCTGTGTGTGTCTGTCTGTGTGTCTGTGTCTGTGTCTGTGTCTGTGTCTGTGTCTGTGTGTCTGTGTGTCTGTGTGTGTGTGTGTCTGTGTGTGTGTGTCTGTGTGTGTGTGTGTGTCTGTGTCTGTGTGTGTGTGTCTGTGTGTGTGTGTCTGTCTGTGTGTGTGTGTCTGTGTGTCTGTGTGTGTGTGTCTGTGTGTCTGTGTGCGTCTGCAGATCTGAACCTTTAACATCTCGTAGCGTTTAAATTCTTCGTGTCTCTCGGCGTCGTAGTTCTCCAGATCTTTAGTCGCCTGCAACAAACACAAACACAAACACAGTCACACAGTGTGTCAGACGCCCTGTGTGTCAGAGTGTGCCCAGGTGCCCTCCCCGTGTGTCAGGTGCCGTGTGTCAGGGGCCCTCCCGTGTGTCAGGGGCCCTCCCCGTGTGTCAGGGGCCCTCCCCGTGTGTTAGACGCCCTCCCCGTTGCCGTATGTCGATGTGTTTTTGTGCGTTACCGTGGAGATGAGCAGCTCCAGGTCTTTGGCCTCAAACGTGTTCTGGTTGTGCGGGTCCAAGTGTTCGAACTGTTTGAGAAGCGACGCGTGATCCATCTGAAGACCTAAGACACACACACACACTGAACACACACACAGACACACACACCTGAACACACACACACACACACACACACACACACAACAACACACACACAACACACACACACACACACACACAACACACACACACACACACACACAGAAACACACACACAGATCACACACACATCTGAAGACCTGCACACAACACACACACAACACACACACAACACACACACAACACACACGTGAGAAAAAGAAACACACACACACACACACATCTGAAGACCTGCACACAAATATACACACAACACACACACATGAGAAACACACAACACACACACACACACACAACACACACGTGAGAAAAAGAAACACACACACAGATAACACACACATCTGAAGACCTGCACACAACATACACACACACACACACACACGTGAGAAAAAGAAACACACACATAACACACACATCTGAAGACCTGCACACAAATATACACACACACACACACACACACAACAGAAACACAAACACACACACACACATCTGAAGACCTGCACACAACACACACACAACACACACACACATACACACACACACACGTGAGAAACAGAAACACACACACAGATCACACACACATCTGAAGACCTGCACATAAATATACACACACACAACACACACACATGAGAAACATAAACACACACACATAACACACATCTGAAGACCTGCACACAACACACACACACACACACACACACACGTGAGAACCAGAAACATACACACGAGAAACAAACACACACAGAACCAGGACTAAACCAGGTCTAAACCTGGGACTAAACCAGGGACTAAACCAGGGCTAAACCAGGGCTAAACCAGGGCTAAACCAGGGCTAAACCAGGGCTTAACCAGGACTAAACATGGACTAAACGTGGATTAAATGTGGACTAAACCAGGCGTAAACCAGGACTGAGCCACAACTGAGCCAGGACTGAACCCTGACTAAGCCGTGAGTAAACCGGGACTAAACGTGGACTAAACATGGACTAAAACCAGGCTTAAATCAGGCCTAAACCAGGATTAAACCAAGACTAAATGTGGTCTAAACCAGGACAATAGAGATGTTTGAAAAGTGCAGTGACAGTTGAACAAAACCTCCTGCTGTGACGAAGAGAGAGAGGAACATTCTTCAGACAGAACAGAGACGAAGAGGAAGAGGAGGTAGAGAGAAGGAGGAGGGAGGAGGGGTGAGTGATGGAGTGATTGACAGATGAACGAAGACCCCAAACTATCTGCAGAGTCTTACAAACCCGTCTCCATCTGGACACGACATTTTTCACATTTTTACATCTGCCGTTTAAAAAAAAAAAACTACAAAAAAAGAAAAAATGTGAAAAATGTCTAAACCCTGGTCTTTTAACCCTGAATCAATAAAGTTTGTCTGAGTCCACAGATATAGAAGATCATTTGTTTAATCAGATTTTAAATTTTTAAATATCGCACTTTTTAAACTCTGAAAAAATATGTTTGAATAATTTTTAATCTGAATTTTAGTCGCTGAAATTTTAAGTGTACATTTTCAACAAGTGTATAAATGAAAAAAAATGAAACAATCTTATCCTGACGCTTTTAGGAAGATCAACTGTGTCAAAAAGTGCAGACACTAACGCACTTTACAAAATATCACGGACTTGGAACACACTTTGGAAAATGTGTGGGTTGTTTTTTAAAGACTCTATTTGACATAAAATATTTTAAACTATTTATTCATATTATTATTTCTGCTGCTGTTGACCTGGACCTGAGTGCAGTGTTTTGTTTCTGTGTATTTTTATACTGAAATGACTGAAATAAATTCTGATTCTGGAAAAAAAAAAAAAAAAAAACAAGTTCTGTATTTTAGACTCTGAATTTTGACTGTTGAATTTTAGGGCTTGAAAATATTTGTGCTGAAAATTTAAAAGGTGAAATCTTTATTTTAGGTTTGAAACTTTTTTTTTTTTTTTTTTTAACCTCCTGTTTAAGTCCTGGTTTAGACCTGGTTTAGTTCTGTTTTTTTTTTTTACGTGGGTTAGACCTGGGTTATTACCTGGTTTAGACCAGTTTTTTTTGTTGTTGTTGTTGTTTTTTGACTTGGTTTAGACCTGGTTTAGACCTGTTTTGTTACCTGGTTTAGTCCTGTTTTAGTCCTGGTTTAGTCCTTGGTCTAGTTCTGGTTTAGACCTGGTTTAGTCCTGATTTTTTTTTCTGTTTTGTTTGTTTTTCGACTTGGTTTAGACCTGTTTTTTTTACCTGGTTTAGTCCTGGTTTAGTCCTGGTTTAGACCTGGTTTAGACCTGGTTTAGTCCTGGTTTAGAGTCCTGGTTTACTGGTTCCTGGTTTAGACCTGGTTTAGTCCTGGTTTAGACCTGGTTTAGACCTGGTTTAGTCCTGGTTTTCCTGGTTTACCTGGTTTAGTCCTGGTTTTTAGTCCTGGTTTAGTCCCCTGGTTTAGGTTTTAGTCCAGGTTTAGTCCAGGTTTAGTCCTGGTTTAGTCCTGGTTTAGTCCTGGTTTAGTCCTGGTCCATTGATGGATTACACAGATATAAAGACACATGGTTTGTTTGTTTCTCTTATTGCTCCTTAGAATCCGAAAAACACAGTGAACTCAACAGCAGAAAAAACTACATGAGACTTTTTTTTGTGTGTTTTAAAACGTATCGAAATCGAATCGATATCGTGACGCGTGTATCGAGGTAGATATCGAATTGTGTGGAATCTGTATCGTCGTATCCCTGATAGGTGGTGAACAGTGGGACATTTGGACCCGGGCGCAGTCAGGGTTAGTTACTCTGAGTGTTGGTGCTGTCCAGTTTGGCCCTCAGCAGCATCCGTAGTCGGGACACTTCCTGTCGCTTGAGCTCGTCGAGGCGCGTGCGGATGTGATGCCCGACCAGGTCCAGCTCTTTACTCAGACGCCCGCTCTGAACACAAAAAACGACAAGAAGAAAACAACGATGAAGAGGGTCACAGCTCTGAACACAAACACGACAAGAAAACAACAAGGAGAAGAGGGTCACAACCACGAGAAGAAAGGAACAACAACAAGAAGAAAACAACCAGAAGAAAACAACCAGAAGAAAACAACGAAAAGAGGGTCACAACCACGAGAAGAAAAGAACAACGAGAAGAAAACAACGAGAAGAAAACAACGAGAAGAAAACGAGAAGAAAACAACGAGAAGAAAACAACAAGAAGAGGGTCACAACCACGAGAAGAAAAGAACAACAACAAGAAGAAAACAACGAGAAGAAAACAACGAGAAGAAAACAACGAGAAGAAAACAACGAGAAGAAAACAACGAAAAGAGGGTCACAACCACGAGAAGAAAACAACGAGAAGAAAACAACGAGAAGAAAACAACGAGAAGAAAACAACGAAAAGAGGGTCACAACCACGAGAAGAAAACAACGAGAAGAAAACAACGAGAAGAAAACAACAAAAAGAGGGTCACAACCACGAGAAGAAAACAACGAGAAGAAAACAACGAGAAGAAAACAACGAAAAGAGGGTCACAACCACGAGAAGAAAAGAACAACGAGAAGAAAACAACGAGAAGAAAAGAACGAGAAGAAAACTACGAGAAGAAAACAACGAGAAGAAAAAACGAAAAGAGGGTCACAACCACGAGAAGAAAAGAACAACAAGAAGAAAACAACGAGAAGAAAACAACGAGAAGAAAAACAACGAAGAAAACAACGAAAAAGGGTCACAACCACGAGAAGAAGAAGAACAACGAGAAGAAAACAACGAGAAGAAAACAACAAGAAGAAAACAAGAGAAAACAACGAGAAGAAAACAACGAGAAGAAAAACGAGAAGAAAACAACGAGAAGAAAACAACGAAAAGAGGGTCACAACCACGAGAAGAAAAGAACAACAACGAGAAGAAAAAACGAGAAGAAAACAACGAGAAGAAAACAACGAGAAGAAAACAACGAAAAAGGGTCACAACCACGAGAAGAAAAGAACAACAACGAGAAGAAAACAACGAGAAGAAAAC